ACACTCAAAAAATCAAAAACCTACTTGAGCATGGCGATCGTCCCATTCACTGGTTTCCTGTCCAACGTATAAACAAACTTTTTACCAAAAAGAAAAAAGAATAAAAGTAATCATAACAAAAATAAAAAGAATAAGACTTATAAACAAGCTGACTAGCTATTTGAATGCGAACAAATCTTTGGGTAAAAGTTCAATCTGCATCCACGAGCTTTATTAGTTATTTCAATTTCATATAGATAGTTGCAATTCAATCCGTACTTACATACATATGCATGGATGTAGATACATATGTATGTATGCATGCATATATGTGGTATTATTTGTAGTTTTTAATCAAAAGTAGAAGACTTAATCTCATCAAATTATTTTAAAATATTATATTTGATCAAAATTTAAAAATTTAGGGACCAAAAGAAAAAAAAATCCGTTAGCCATGATTTGTGATTGAAAGTTTAGAAGAAACATTGATAAAATCGAAAACTCAATAAATAAATAAATAATAAAAGAAACTGGATTCTCCTCCTTAAAGGATAAATTTAAATTAACCCTAAGTTGACTTGACATGCTTTGCTAATGGTCTTAAATGCGAATGCCAATAAATTAAAATGGTTACTATAGAAAGATAAATAATAGTTGATTCTAAATTATCAAATTTAAGATCATGAAAGTATTCATGATGCTAGATTATGGAATTTAATTAGAAGATATATAAAATCCAAAGCTCAGAATTAAAAAAAAAAAAAAAAAAAAAAACCACGGATTTGCTGCCTTATTACAGGATAAATTGAGTTAAGATCATGAAAATAATTCATGATGCCAACTTATGGAATTTAGAAGATAAGTAATAATCTTCTCGAAATTCAAATAAAAGATATCCAATTTGGCTACTAATCTAGTGAGAGAAAATGGAACAACAATAAAGCATAAAGAAAGCAATAAATAATTGAAAAGATAAAACATTAATGATGCATTAAATATAAACAAAACATTAATGATACATTGAATATAAACAGAGGTATAACAATAATAAAAATGCTTGACGATATCATAGTAACGGACATCATTTTCAAAAATAGAAAGTGCTTAGAGATAAAATTGAAGAGTAAAAATGTTAAATGACATAATATTTATTGAAAATTTCATATTAAAATTTTGTAACACTATCCTTATAAAATTATGATGATTTTTTTTACACCACCGATGTCATGTAGAGTTGTATATATATATATATCTCAATCCGTATTAATGTCATCTCTTTATTAAAAATTTCAAGTTTAAATCTCTCTTTTATAATAATAAGTAAGGAAATGCCATGTGAAGCAAGAAGAGAGTTTTCGAAGCTGTGAATTTCTTACAGTCCATCAACCACGGCAAGACTATAAAAGTTCGAATGCTCACTTTTCATTTATTGCATGGCTTACTTCCAGGTAAAGATTCTGATAGAAATTGCAAATAGGTGGATCGAATCATGATTGAGAGATTCTCCCATTTTTCATGTTTACAATGTAATATTTCAACTCAATTATTTTCCTATTCATCACGCAGAGGAAGGACGTCAGGTTTGAAGACTATTAGAGAAAAGTACTGAATTTTCCTCCTAGCAGTTGAGGAATTGCTAGGTCTCCAATTTACAACGCATTTTTCAGATTTTTTTTCCCGTGCTTTTTCTGATTTGAATATTCTCATGTTGCATTAGGAACATGATCGGTCATCGTTCAAATTAATCCAAATTATTAATTAAATAGTCATGATTTAGTGTATACAAACTGATTAAATGTGTAACGCTGCGGATTAGATGTAATAAAATCATTCTAACTTGATAGTGTAGCCCAAATTGCTAGTCTATTAAAACATATTGCATCAAAGGCAATTAAAAAAAAAAACTAAAATTTATAATATTTTTAATCAAAATATTATATTTAATTAATTATCTTTTGTGTTTTTTTTTTCAACTCAAACATGATTCATTTATCTTTATGCAATGATTCTTAAATAAAAATTTCTAATAATGTAAACTAAAAACTTTATCCAAAATTCAAAAACGTGCCATAAAAATATATTTTTCATAAGATTTTATCAAAAATGATTTTTTTTATTTAATATTAATGAGAAAATTATTTTTAAAAATATGGACATATATATATATATATATATATATATATATATATATATATAGAGAGAGAGAGAGAGAGAGAGAGAGAGAGAGAGAGAGAGAGAGAGAGAGAGAGAGAAAATAATCAATAATATTAGCATAAAAAACTATTTTTGAATCGTTTGGTAGTTTTTTTAAAAATATTATTTCAAAAACATTAGTTTTATGATATTAAAAAAACAACAAATGGTTGGCATCATGTGTATAGATACATAGTTAATTTTTCATATATATATATATATATATCATAACTATACTTAGTAAATTGAGAGTATGAAGAACAAATAAAAAAAGTATTTAAAAAATTAGAAAAAAATTATCTAAAATACACTCGTAATATTTACATTGAACATATATTTATAACCATGTGACCATCATTTAAAAACTCTAAAAATCCATGATACAAATCATATGCAATAATTCAGTGTCTTTTTCCTATTCATTTTTCTTTATGCAATAATTCTTAAATAAAAACTTGTAATAATACAAATTAAAAATTTTATCCAAAATTCAAAAACATGCCATCAAAATATAATTTTCATAATATTTTATCAGAAGATTATTTTTTAAAAGTATATACATTTGATTTATATATATTTATTCACAAAATAATTAATAGTGTTAGCGCAAAAAAAATATTTGAATCATTTAGTGGTTTTTTAAATATTATTTTAAATATTTTATTTTAAATAAATTAGTTTTATAATATTAAAAAAATAACAGCAAATGGTTGGTGTTATGTGTATATATTCATAGTTAATTTTTGATAAATCGATTATTTAATTTTTTTATACGAGCATTACCATACTTAGTGGGTTGTAAGCGTGACGTACCAAACAAAAAATATTAAACAAATTTAGAAATAAATTATGTAAAATACACTCTTTATCTTTATATTGAACATATATACCAAGTGACCATCATCTAAAAATTCTAAAATTCCATGATATAAATTATAACAATTATGTTCTAAAAAACATTCCAAAATCTATACATAGAAAATTAATCAAATTTATCAGCAAATTAAATTTTATGATAAATAAAAATAAAATATTCATCGAGTGAGAATTTTCATAAGAAATGAGAAATTGAAGGAATAAATTTTAAATAATACGAGTAATATAATATAAAATTTATGTTTATTTTAAAATATAAAAAGATATCATTTATATTTCATCATCGCAAAAGTTCATGGAAAACACAAAAAATAACATCCAATATGTCCTAAATTTTGCCTAAAAAATCTCAATAAAAATATTAAAATAAATTATCAAAAGAAAAAAGAAAAGAAAAGAAAAGAAAAACCAACTAAAGCACATGCATGTATGCTTGTGCCTGCTTCTAGGCCCGCAAAGGGCAAATTTTAGAGAAAAAAAAAAGAAAAAAAAAAAAGAATTAGAGGACGGCGATGTGTTGCCCATTTGCCATTTCTTGCTAACACTAGCTAATAGAAAAATAGCCCAGTAAAAATGAGTTTTGTGGTTTTTGGCCTTTTCAATCCAAATTCATTGTCTTTTTTGCTGAAAATATATCTCAAAATTACAGAAATAACATCTATAAACTCTTTTGGAGTCTTAAAACCTATTTTAATGCACATAAAATACATCAAAATTCAAATAAAAAGTCTTAATAATTTTTGAAACCTCGATCTACCTATTCTAATTATTTCATGGTTTGTGACTATCATAAATAGATTATACTCTCAAGACGAACAAATTGAATGTAATTTGGACCTTCAAGGTGGATAGAGTAAGCCTCATTGTCCATCTCTCTCTCTCTCTCTCTCTCTCTCTCTCTCTCTCCCTCGACATTCAAGGATTAAAATAAAAAAGAAATGAAGTTTTGGATAAAAATAAAAAATTCCTAAAATTGGAGGACCAAATGAATACTTTTTTGCTAAACAGTGGAAATGCACAACATGGATGAGTTTGAATCCATGATGAAATTGGGTGACCACCTATAGTAAAGCACAATGCGCAAATAGTAAAGGCTGGTTTTCTTTTAGTGCTATTTTGTTAATGATAAAAATGGAAACAATCTACTCTTTATTATTTTATTTCTCTCATCGAATCTAATCATTGAATTCAAACACAAAGCAGGTTTAGCCTAATAGCTATGTACCTATTTAGCTTCCTTATTAAAGTAAGGTTCAAATCATAATAATTCTATTTTTTTTTTATTTATATAATGAAAGAGGATTACTCTCATTGTGTAGCTTAAAAGCCCAAAAACTTCCAATGAATCAAAAAAATTGTTGAATTCAAAATCAATGATGAGATTTAGAATATAACTAGTCATATTCTCTAAATGATACAGATCAGATGTACTTAACCATAAAGCTATTTTATATGTTGGCAATTTTTTTGTGTATTCACTCCACTACCATGTGAATTTCTTTCTCAAGTGGTGTGTTTATCAAAAAGATTTTTTTAAGTTCTTCTTGACTCTTGCTACTAGATGGATGGATTTCTTCTTAGTAATAGACAAAATTGTATTAGCAACATAAAAAACCCCATGGAGGAATTTAGTAATACTTCTTTTTAGTTAAATTGAAATTCTACCTTTTCCTTCTTCTATATCTGCAGTATATCTTTCCCAATAATAAAAAGAACACATGAAATGTAAGGAAGCCAAGGATCGGTGTTTCTTACCTTTCATGAAGGGTATGTATAGTTGCTATTCCTTTCCGTGTCTGCATTCGGAATTGTGCCCATGTTGAGAGAAATATAATGATCTAGTGTCGTTTACTCGTTAGGACATTTGTCGAACAGTTGCTGACAGAAGGACAAGAAAAGGAAGACGAAGAAAATGCCTAAGAGAAGCTGCCATTAACAACTGGACCTAGTCCATGCGAGAAATTCTCTATTTTATTGTACTGGATCTCACAATTTTCCCCGAACGATGCCCGAATGGGCTGAGTCTACTTAAAGCCACTGCAGTCGGACCAATGCTAAATGGCTTCCAACCACTCAAACAGAGTGAGTTTCATCGAGTAAATTATAAATTAGTCCCTTTTGTTTCGAAAAACGAATTAATTATAAATAATCAAAAAAAAAAACAAAAAAAAAACCCACTTGAGCATGTTCAACGTATAAACATACTTTTTACTAAAAAGAAAAATAAAAAGTAATAATAATAAAAATAAAAAGAAGGAAGACTTATAAACAAGCTGACTAGATATTTGCATATGAATAAATCTTTGGGTAAAAATTCAATCTGCATCCCTGAGCTTTATCAGTTATTTCAATTTCATATAAAATAGCTGCAATTCAATCCGTAAACATTTCATTATTAATTGCTCTCACTCCTTCCTTTCTCTATTTGCTTCCTTTGGTCACCGAATCTGGGCTTCTAGCTTGTCTCTTAAGTTAGTTCGTGATGAGCTTGTAAGCGCGAGAAAGGCCGTATCGAAGATTAAAGTTAGATAGAGTCTTCGGACGTGCAAGTTAGTCCTCAACAGTAAAATCAAGTCATAATAATTTTAAAGAATAGTATTATTTCTTTGTACTTTATTATTATTATTATTTCTTTTATATTTTCTCTCCTTCTTTACTTGAGTCCCAAGTTTTATTATACCATCTCATGCCGGTATTGTTGTTTTATTCTATTTTTATATTATTAATATATTATCTACTTTTGTTTTTGTAAGTAATAATAACCAAAAAGATGGGTAAATTTTAATTTCATATTTAAATTTTATTGAATAATATCTCAATATTACTTAAAAAGTAATGATTATGTTTGACAAAACCAATTAATGTTGATACTAAGATACACACTAAAAAAAAAAAAAAAAAGTTTAGCAACATAATATTCCTTCGCTAAACGCCCTAATTCTGTCGCTATTCATGAATAGCGACGGAAAATATTCCGTCGCTATTTCACTTGTTGCTAATTTTTTACGACGGAATACTCGATCCATCACAACATTTAATGACGGAACATCCATCGCTAAACCAAAAAATCGATCACTAATCTTGTCGTCGGATCGATCATTTTGTTCGTAGCTAATCCGTTGCTATTCCTTCACTAATTTTGAAAATCAATCCATTGCTATTTTGAAAAACGAAATTGTCACAAATCCATCGCTATTTCATCGCTATATTTTCAAAAAATAAATATTTTTTTCATTTTATTTTGGTTTTTTAAAATTATTAATATTGCATTTAATATTTAATAATTAATATTGGATGTAATAGTTAACAATTAAAAGTAATAATGTATAGATTGAAAATGAATTACTTTTAATAAAAACATTCAATAATACATTCGGTAAAATAAAACAAAGTCACTAGGTTGTGTGGAAGGAATGGTAGATTGTTAACTAGTCGACAGATCTATAGGCAACCAATAAATTAAAAATTAAAAATTTCTTAAGAAATAATCAACAAAATTTAACTAAATTATGTACAAAATTATATAATTTTAAAATTAACTTAAAATAAATAACTAACAAAATTCATCTAATCATTAACACAATTAATTAATTAATTAATTTAAAATAACAATTAAAGATTAAATAATTAAATTTTAATCTAAAAATTAAAAATAAATAAATTAACAATAAATCAACCTAAACTAAATTACTTAAAAAATTACATTATTAAAATTAAACCTAAAAAATTAACATAATTAAAAATTTTTAGGTTAAAATTAACATAAAAATTAACCTAAAAATGAACATAATTAAAAAATAACACTTAAAAACATTAATCTAACAATTAATAAAGTTAAATAAACAATTAAAAAATTTACCCTAATAATTAAAAAATAAATTAACATAATAATAAAATTAGCAACATTCAAACAATTAATCAACTAACAAATAAAAAAATTAACATAAAAGTTTATAACATTCATTAATTTTTTTTTTTAAAAAAAAGAGTTAGAGAGAGAAAGTTTTACCAAAGAGATCAAGGAGAGATAGTAGAGATTTCGTTGGATTTTGAGGGAGAAAGTTGCACCTCACCGAGTTAAATGGTTTGGGAAGTCACTTGATGGCGAGGGGCGACGTGGGTGGTGGTTTTCCGGCCGACGGTTGATTTTTGGGTGAAGGAGATAGGGGGCCAAATGGGGAAGAAGAAGAGAAACTATGTGTTTATAGGCTTTGAGATTAGCGACAAACATGATTTCGTCACTAATCCATCGTTAATTAGCGACAAAATCGCCAATCCATCGCTAATTTGAATCGTGTGGTGAAAATTTTTTTACCAAAATTTCAAAATAGCGACGGATTTAAATCTGTCACTAATTAGTGATGGAATTGCCAATCCGTCATTAATTAGCGACGTAACCGCAAATCCGTCGCTAATTTGAACCGTGTAGGTGGAAAAATTTCCATCCAAAATTTCAAAATAGCAATGTATTTCAATCCATCACTAGTTAGCGATGGAATAGCAAATCCGTCACTAATTAGTGACGAAATCACTAATCCGTCACTAATTAGCGATGGAATTGCAAATCCGTTGCTAATTTAAACCGTATGGGTGGAAAACTTTCTACCTAAAATTTCAAAATAGCGACGGATTTCAATATCCGTCGCTATTTTGAATGTAAAATTAGCAATGCATTTCACAATCTGTCACTAATTAGCGATTTTGGTGGGAAACGTTTTTCAAAAATCCCAAAGTTAGCGACGATTCCAACGTCCGTCGCTAACTTCACTAAATTATGAGAATTTTAGCGACGGAAAAAATTCCGTCGCTAATTTTTTTCATTTAGCGACCATATGACCGTCGCTGATTTTGGCCTTTTCCCCCGTCTTATTTAGCGACGTATTTTTAACCCTCGCTAAGTATCCCTCGTTAGTCTATCGCTAATCCGTCACAAAACACAACCTTTTATAATTCATCGCTAAATATCGACGGATTTTAATCCATCGCTAATTGGTATTTTTTTTTTGTAGTGGATTGTGATACAACATTTGACAAATGAAATTAAAAGATTAATTCATAATTTAGTATTTTTTTATTGTTTTAGTGAGTTTCATAGTTTAAATATATATAAATGTGTGTGTGTTATTATTTGTAGTTTTTAATTAAAAGTAGAAGACTTAATCTCATCAAATTATTTAAAAATATTATATTTGATCAAAATTTAAAAATTTAGGGATCAAAGAAAAAAATCCGTTAGGTATAATTTGTGATTGAAATTTTAGAAGAAACATTGATAAAATCGAAAACTCAATAAATAAATAAATAAAATAAAATAAACTGGATTCTCCTCCTTGAAGGATAAATTTAAATTAACCCTGATTCGACTTGACATGCTTTGCTTATGATCTTATATGCGAATGCTAATAAATTAAAATGGTTACCATAGAAAGAGAAATAATAGTTGATTCTAAATTATCAAATTTAAGATCATGAAAATATTCACGATGCTAAAGTGTGGAATTTAATTAGAAGATATATAAAATCCAAAGCTCAGGGAAAAAAAATGTGGATTTGCCTCCTTATTAAAGGATAAATTGAAATTAAGTCGAATTTTACTTGACGTGCTTTACTTATGGTCTTAAACAAAAATGTCAATAAAAATGAAAATAATTGTTGATTCTAAATTATCAAATTTAAGATCATGAAAATAATTCATGATGCCAAATTATGAAATTTAGAAGATAAGTAATAATCTTCCCGATATTCAAATAAAAGAAACCCAATTTGGCTACTAATCTAGAGAGAAAAATGGAACAACAATAAAACATAAAGAAAGCAATAAATAATTGAAAAGATAAAACATTAATGATACATTAAAGATAAACAAAGGTATTTAGTGGATGTTATGTATATATATAACTCAATCGGTATTAATGTCATCTATTTATTAAAAATTTGAAGTTTAAATCTCTCTTTTATAATAATAATAAGAAGAAGAAGAAGAAGAAGAAGAAGAAGAAGAAGTAAGAAAATGCCATGGGAAGCAAGAAGAGAGTTTTCAAAGTGGTCAATTTCTTACAGTCCATGAACCGCGGCAAGACTTTAAAAGTGGTCAATTTCTTGTAGTCCATGCATGGGACACGTACGGCAACGCCTACCAACTTTCCCCGTCATTTGATTCTTGAAAATTATGAATCAGCGGCGGTCAGGATTGGAGTCCAATACTGGGCTGTAGCATTCAAACACAACACTTGTCTTTCTGATGATCTTATATCGTCAATTTGATTTTATTAAAAAACTTGTGTTAGCAAATTAACCAGCTGTTTGAAATGTTAATTTCTAATTATTTTGGTCACAATCATGATTGAGAGATTCTCCCATTTTTCATGTTTACAATGTAATATTTCAACTCTATTATTTTCCTATTCAACACGCAGAGGAAGGACGTCAGGTTTGAAGACTATTAGAAAAAAGTACTGGAATTTCCTCCTAACAGTTGAGGAATTGCTAGGTCTCCAATTTACGACGCATTTTTCAGATTTTTTTTCCCCGTGATTTTTCTGATTTGAATCTTTTCATGTTACACTAGGAACATGATCGGTCATTTTCCTTATTAATCCAAATTATTAATTGAATAGTCATGATTTAGTGTATAATAGTTTATTACACGTGCCAAACTGCAGATCGAACGTAATAAAATTATTTTAATTTTATAGTGTAGGTCATATTGTGGGTCTATCAAAACATATCGAATCAAAGATAATAATAAAAAAAAACTAAAATTTATAATATTTTTCCTCAAAATATTATATTTAATTAATTCTTTTTTGAGTTTTTTTTTTCAACTCAAACATGATTTGTTTTTCTTTATGCAATGATTCTTAAATAAAAATTCATAATAATGAGAACTAAAACTTTTATCCAAAATTCAAAAACATGCCATAAAAATATATTTTTTATAAAATTTTATCGGAAAATGATTTTTTATTTAATATTAATGATAAAATTATTTTTAAAAATAAATACATTTTGTTTATATATATTTATAAAATAATCAATAATATTAGTATAAAAACTGTATTTGAATCATTTGGTGATTTAAAAAAAATATTATTTCAATTATTTTATTTCAAAAAAAATTAGTTTTATGATATTAAAAAAAAACAAATAGTTGGTATTATGTGCATAGATACATAGTTAATTTTTGATGAAATAGATGATTTAATATATTTTTTTATATATCATGACTATATGTTGAGAGTATAAAGAATAAACCAAAAAAATATTTAAAAAATTTAGAAACATATTATCTAAAATATACTCTCAATATTTACATTGAACATATATTTACAACTATGTGATCATCATTTAAAAATTCTAAGAATCTATGATACAAATTATATATATATATATTTTAAAATCATGTTCTAAAAAATATTCCAAAATCTATATATAGAGAAAATAAATCAGTATTATTAGTAAATTAAATTTTATAATAAATAAAAATAAAAAATTCACCACATGATATTTTTTATAAAAAAAAAGAGAAACTAAAGGAATAAAATTTAAATAATAAAAATAATATAATACGAGATATATGTTCATTTTAAAATATAAAAAGATATCATATGTATTTCATCTTCGCAAAAGTGTATGAGAAACACAAAAAAATAACATCCAATCTTTCATAAATTTTGCCTATAAATTCTTAATAAAAATATAAAAATAAATTATCATGGAAAAAAAATGGAAAGAAAAACCAACCAAAGCATAGACTTGTTGTTGGGCTTGCTTTTAGGCCCATACGAGGGCAAAGTTTAGGTAAAAAAAGAAAAGAAATAGAAGACAAACCACATGTCGTCCGTTTGTAATTTCTAGCTAGCTCGACTAGCCAAAAAACTTGCCAAAAAATTAAGTTCTTGTGGTTTCTAGTCTTTTCAACCCAAATTTAGCATCTTTTTATTTAAAAAAAAATCTCAAAATTACAAAAATAATGTCCATAAACTCTTTTAGACTCTTAGAACTCATTTTAATGCACATAAAATAATTCAAAAATCAAATCAAAATAATAAAAAAAACCTCAAGAATTTTTTAAATCCCAATCTACTTCAACTATTTCATGATTTATGAGTACAACAAATAAATTATACTCTCTAAGATGAACAAATTAAAGATAATTTCAACAAGTCAATATTTTTTTTTTTTGTTAACGATAACAATGGAAACAATCTAACTCTTTGTTATTTTGTTTCTCTCATCTAATCTAATCATTGAATTCAAAAAAAAAACTAGATTTTTCCTAGCGGTTGTATACCTAGTTAGATTTCTTCGTAAACTAAGGTTAAAACCCTAATAATTCTAAGTTTCTTTGGTAATTGTATCATGAAAGAAAACTACCCTCGTTGTGTAGCTTAAAAGTCCAAGAGCTTCCAATGAATAAAAACAAAATCATTAAATTACAAATCAATAATGAGATTTAGAATATGACCAGATATATTCCCTTGATGATCCAAGTCAAATTTATTTGACGCTAAAGCTGTTTCATATGTTGAGAATTTTTTGTGCATTCGCTCCACTACCATATAAATTTCTTTATCAAATGGTGTGTTTATTGAAAAGATTTTTTTCTAAGTTCTTCTTGACTCTTGCTACCAGGTGGATGGATTTCTTGTCAATAATTTCACTTTTGATTGTCAAATATAAGCTTATATACTTTTGTCAATAGCTATCCAACAAGAAGTTTTGTTAGCAACCTAAAGAACCTCATGGATGAATTTAATGATATTTCCTTTTGTTGGAACTAAAATTCTGCCTTTTCCTTCGACATCCATATGCTTTCCATCTTTGATCATCAACTCTAAGGACATTTCATGAACAATTTTTTGTTTCTTGTCATATGGTTGTTGTAGGCACTATCGACATATTTTGATCATGCTCGTTATCAAATCTACTATGGTCTTTTCTTTCAAATATTAAAAGCAATATTCTATATCAACGTCAAGTGAATAACACTTGATGTCCGGCCATCAAACAAAACCCAATCAACATCTTTCATCTCATCTCGGTTTCTTCCCCGATAGAGATTCATAGCCAAAATAATAGGAATTATTGACGGTTTAAACCATCGTTAATTCTTAAAAAATCACTTATTCTTGAAAAACTCGTCTTTAATCTTAATTAGAGATGGTTTTGTGATGGTCTCAAATCATTCGAAAAATGCTTCTCGTAAATTTTTTAGCGATGATTTTTCAAGATCATGGCTAATTTAACAACGACGTAACCATCGCTAATTGTCAACAAATCAATGACTCGTTTTTAAAAATCGACACCAATTTTGGTTGCTAATTTTTTCATATTTACGATCATTTTAGAAAACCGTCGCTAAAACTATCACAAATTATGTAGAATTAGTGATGATTTAGAGGTCGTGTGCAAAATCGTTGCTAAATATGTATGAAAATTTTTTAATTTTTTTCAATATTTATCATTTTTGTTTTGTTTAAATTAAGCTATTCCAATTTAAAAACTAAAAAATTGCCATACATAAGATTTTTAAAAATTAAAAAATATAAAATGAAATAAAATGAAATATATATTAAAACATCAAATTATGAAATAATTTTAAAATTTGTTAATATTACAAGAAAAGTAAAACATAAAAGTGATAAGCAAACGGTACGATTGTTACTCGGAGGATCGATGGGATTGTCAATCGGAGGATCGATGGATGAACCGCCTCGCCGCATATTCAGCAAAATCTGCTACATCTATCGCATCATCACATGTTGCTCCTAAATATACTATTTCAACTTATTTGTAGCAGCTAAAAGCAATGTAATAGTATCCTCTAGTTGTTCGATCCCTTCGTTTATCTATTAGTGCGAGCCTCTATTTCCTTTCGCCGTGCCTCATTATCGACATGGAATTGCTAAGTGATCGAACCGGAAGATGTATTGACATTATAGTAATAGTTGAAGGCCTATGACCTTTGTTCATACATCTTCTTCCTCTTACTATTTCCTCCTCCAACACCCTTCTTTAGCATCTTGTTCATGTCGATATTGGGTAATGAAGTACTCTCCATCTACCAACTAGCAACCTCCTCCTCTAATATTTTATTCATGATCTTCTACATAATTGTATAAATTTTAATATTAAATAGCTATGTACGTATAAAATAACCTTATAAATTAATTACTTACTTCGAGAATTCTTGCTCATTGATCGATCAATACATACTAATTGTCACGAGGCGACGTCGGCGGTGAGGTGAAATGTATGGCGGATGATTAGAGTCACCACCTAGTGTTACGGTTACTAGGAAACCTCGTGATCGGTCTATTCGTAGTTTTTGGTAAGGGGTTTATTATGTGTAGGGAAGATCAAAATTCACCCTACCTCGTCTTGCCTAAGGCAAGCTGCATTGCATGTAATATTGGTTCGATTTTTGATTTTTTTATGAAAATGCCCCCTAGTTGAGTGATTCGGGACTCGTTTGGTCAAAGATCTCGTCCTCACTCTATAATGGATGGCTAGAAATGATGGTGAAACAGATAAAAAAAAAAGGCAAAAATCAGCAACTTAGGTAAAAACGAGCAAAAATTGACAATTTAGGCAAAAATAGGCTAAAATCGGCAACTTAGGCAAAAACAAGCAAAAATAAGCAACTTAGGCAAAAATATGCTAAAATCGACAACTTAAGCAAAAACAAGCAAAAATCGACAACTTAGGTAAAAATAGGCAAAAATCGACAACTTAAGTGCAAACAAGCAAAAATCGATAGCTTAAGCAAAAATCAACGAACTTAGGCTAGAAATAGGCTAAAATTGGCAACGAAAAAGGAAAGCGACGACTTTGGCTAAAATAAGCTAAAATCGACGATGAAATCAAAACATCAACGGCTTTGGCTAAAATAGGCTACAATCAACGACAAAATAAAAAATTAAAGACTTTGGCTAAAATAGGCTAAAATCGGTGACGAAATAAAAAATTGACAGACTTTGGCTAAAATATGCTAAAATCGACAACGAAATCAAAAGATCGATGGCTTTGGCTAAAATCGACGACGAAATCAAAAATCGACAACTTTGGCTAAAATAGGCTAAAATCGACAACGAAATCAAAAGATCAACGGCTTTGGCTAAGATAGGCTAAAATCATCAACAAAATCAAAAATTGATGGCTTTGGCTAAAATAGGCTAAAATTGACAAAACGAGCACGCATAAGCAAAAACGGATGAGATTTGACAATAGGACCGAATTGGAGAAAACACAAAAAAAATCAACGAAATTAATTACTTTAGCATGTATAATCAATCATGTCCGACGAAAGCAAATTTACACGACAACATTTCAAACTTACTTGATTCGATGTTGTTTTCTTATATAAAATTACCATATAAGACGAGCTTTTGAAACATACATTTCAAATAACAACAAATATCTAGACTTTCAAACTGACACATCATACCAACAAATCAGCAATGCATATTATCGCAATTTCAACAAATTACACATAAACAAACAAATCAAATTAATTACACCACATTCACTCAATTAATTACATGACACATATCAACATGAAGCAAATTTAATGCATGTTAAAAATAAAAATAAAATAAAGAAAAAAGTGAGAAAAATTACCGTAAAGAAGAAAAAAGGCGAGCTGATTTGCTTAATGATCTCGAGGTCGATTCAACCTTTTCAACCCCGATGGAGACTAATACTTAGTCAACTAGGGAGGAAAGGTGGCCGCCGGTAGAGCTTGAGAAGGCTCGCTCGCGGGTGGCGACCGCTACCGGCATTGGTGAGGCGAGGAGGCCCGCCGGAGAGGCGCCGATGTGTGCCGACCTAGAGCCCTGCTAGCGCACGTAGACGTGGGGGTTGCTACTTGGGGAGAGGTTGCGTGCGGGGTGCACGTTGCTCGTTGCTATTGGGGTGAGGCATTGGCGGTAGGGCCGGTGTTGCGCGTCCGGAGTGGGGGCCGCTAACGTGTAGAGGTGCGAGCGGGCGTGTATGAGTGCTAGTGGGAGAGGTCGATGGGGCTAGTGGCATGGAAGGAGAGCCGTTGTAAAAGGGGTGGTTGTTGGGGGAAGGGAGATAGCTATGGGTAGGAGGTGGTCGCCGATGTTGATGGAAGAGGGTCGACGGCTAGGGTTCCTGTTTTGGGTGGTGAACAGTAATTGCCCTTTTGTGGGAGAAAAGGGGGGCTTTTATTCTAGATTTTTAGGGCTTTTTGGCTAAAAGTCTTTTGGTCATTTGTTTTACAAACCAAATTTATTTTGCTTCTTTTCTCTTCTCTTCTTTAATTGCACCCCTATATTTATATTTTTTACCTTTTTTTTTTTTTTTTGTATTTTGAAACCCAAAATTGGGTGCTAACAATTGCCCTCTCTTTACAAAGCTCATGATGCGAAGCCATTGAAAATTTAACTTTTCTTTGGCTTTGCATAGTGAGCTTGTAAAGAAACTATAGATAGGTCTGTGATCAATTGGCAAAGTCCATTTAAAGGCCTTCTCCAAACACAGAGTTGATGTGGGTGACCATCCTCATGGTCAAATAGGTGACTTTCCTTTGGCAATGCACCGCAGTATGAGCGATGTACTCGAAACACAAAAATTGTTACTATTAAAACATACACTTCCCTCCTAGCTACGATCCATCTTCATTGGGCTAGGTTTGTGATTTCTAGGTCTGGTCGCTCCCGTGGATTTTGTCTACTTAATCACATTTCTTCGAATCACTTTTTTTTACTAACTAAATTTTTTACACACGTGATTGGACTATCATTACCAAATACCTTATTCCTTGCCATTGCATATTGATGGGGGTACCCCGAAACTATTGAAGCAATCTATGATCATCGTCATCTGCTATTCACCTTTTTTTTTTTTTGCATAAAAAGTTGATGAAAAAGCCTTTTCATTTATCAAGGGTGAATAAAATTCCTATCATTCCTATCATTTGTCCTCTTTTGTGTTATCATTTTTTCATAACTAACATTAAACATGAGATTGTGCATGAGATCAATAAAAGGTTTTTGTTCATTTTTCGTAGACTCGATCACCTTGTGAGAGAGTAGGTTATTTTAATAGATAAAGAAAAAGTCGGGAATGATTTATATGGGGTGGGCAAGAAAGAAAAGAGAAGCAAACGTAAAAGATTAAACTAGAAAATATTTAATATAATTTCGATTATTTCCTTTTTGCAATGGGACAAAGAAGAATTTCATATGCTCAAGCATGATATTTCTTTACAATGTCGGAATTCATCGGCTTCGGCAATACCTCACCATCCATCTTCATTAGGAGGAGGGCTCCTCCGGAGAATGCTCTTTTCACCACATATAGACCCTCATAATTGGGTGCCCACTTACTTCTTTTTGCCCTCGAAATCATGAGTACTCTTTTCAAGGCTAAGTCCCCTTCGCAAAAGGTTCTTATGCGGACTTTCTTATCATATGCCCGAGCCATTCTTTTCGATACAACTGCATATGACAAATAGCTGCTAGCCTCTTCTCACCGATCAAATTCAGTTGTTTATATCCGATTCGGGCCCATTCGACTCATCTAGCTTTGCTTCTTTTAGCACCCTCGGAGATGGTATCTCTACTTTTGTGGGCATCACTTGTCTCCATCCTATATACCAATGAGTAAGGAGTTGCCCTAGTTGATGTCCTTAGTGCCATCCTATAAGCATGTAATGCAAATGGTAACACTTCATGCCGGTCTCTATATGTGACTATCATTTTCCGTATGATTTTCTTTATGTTCTTATTTGCGGCTTTCATGGCCCCATTCATCTTGGGTCTATATGGCGAAGAATTATGATGCTTGATCTTCCACTATTCGCATAATTCTATAATCATCCTACCATTGAAATTCTATGCATTATCCGTGATCAAGGTGTCCGGACCCTCATATCGATAAATGATGTCCTTTTGCATGAATCGATAGATAACTCTCTCGGGTAACATGTGTAAAGGATGCTGCTTCCACCCATTTGGTGAAGTAATCAATTGCTACCAAAATGAAGTGATGACCATTACTAACTTTTGGGTTTATCATCCCAATCACGTCCATTCCCTACATTGAGAATGGCCGGGGAGACATCATGTTATGAAGTGGTACAAGAGGAGCATTTATCCAGTCCGTATAGATTTAGCATTTGTGGCACTTTCACACGTAGTCTATACGAGTCCCTTTCCATAGTAGTCCAAAAATAACCACATCTCCGAATTTGATGAGCCTTCATGTGTCCATTGGTATGGGTTCTATAAATCCCCTAATGAACCTCTTCAATAACCTCGCTTAGCTTCGAAGGAGTCTAAACACCGCAACGAAAGTCCCATTAAAACTTCTTTTGTATAACACTTTGCCATCTAAGTAAAAATCCATTGTCAAACTTTGAAGTGTCTTCCTATCATTCTTCAAAGTACACGATGGGTATTCTCGATTTTTATGAACTCGCTTGATATCTTCATACCATGGCTTTTCATCGAGCTCACACTCGATCGGACAACACGAGTGGGTCGGGGCATTTTTTACTTTAATGCATATGGGGTGAACCTTTATACCATGTGGTATCTTCGTCATTACGACTAGTGTGGCCAAGGCATCGACAAAGTGGTTCTTATCTCGACCCAAATGAGTGAACTCTATCTCATCAAAATGATCGACTAGCTTTGTTAAGTACTCTTGATATGGTTTCAACTTTTCATCTTTCATCTATCATTTTTCTTTGACTCGACAGATTATCGGTAATGAATCACCATACATATCTAACTTCTAGATCCTCATTTCTACTGGTCGCTTTAATTT